AGAATTAAATAGGACAGGACCAGTACAGGTCTCAGCACAGCAGCTGACACAGGCGAAGGTCTCAGCTGTCATGACTATTCCCGTTGCTGTTATTAACCCAAATACCTGAAACTGCCTCCCAAGCCCCCACCAACAGCGCCAGTTGAGTCAGCTGGGCTCTTTCCTACTGAGGATGGGCCTTGATAACCATGAGAAAGCCTGTCCCTCAAGGAGCTGGGGGATGTCTGTCCTAATGCTGGGGACACCCCACCACCTGTTTACTCGTCAAACTGGAAGCTTCCCCAGGGCAAGGGGCAGAGGCTGGTCTCGCACCAGCCTCCCCAGTGCCCAGAAGAGTGGTTGTGTCTCCTCCATCAGACTTGGGGCTTACTCTCTGTCTCTCCCTACTCCATCTAGTCCAGGTGATTGCCTGCGAGGGACTCTGACCTGTCACCCCACTCCATCTGTAAACCCACAACCTTAAGCCTGGAGGGGAGAGTGAGTACATTCTAAGGTCAGGCTGTGGGTTTTCTTTCTTAGGCTTCCTGGGAAGGCCGCAAGCCTGAGGGCCCAGGACCCATATGGAGGGCCTGGCCTGCAGACCTAGCACCTGAACCCTCCAGATGGAGCAGAGAGTCCCACTGGCTGTGGGGTTCCAGCCCCGGCTCTGCTCCTAACTGGCCTTGGTTCCTTTCCTGGGTCTCAGTCTCCACATCTGTACAATGGGGGTTAGGACCAGGCGATGTCTGAGCTCAGGAGTGTTGGTAGCCTAGACGGAGACTTTGTGCAAATCTGGGTGGATGCAGCCTTGTAGCACACAGCTTAGCAAGGACACAACACCTTAGTGCTAGCCAAAGGCACCCCGTCCCCGGGCCGACACAGCCCATGCCAGAGCTCAGTGCTTGGTGATTTGAGCATGGGGAGGATTTCAGAGCCCTCCCCCTCAGCTGGGCGCCTTTGTTCAGGGCACATGATGCACACACAACCTTGAACCATGGCTGGGCCTGAGCTGCCAGCGTGGTATTTTCTAGGTCAATTGGCCAAGGGAGGAGAGAAAAAAAGGAAAGCAGTGACGTGGCGCTGTCTCAGGCTGCCCCCTGGTGGCCAGATGCTGCATGACACCATGGCTCAGGAAAAGCATCTCAGGTTAGTTTTAACTGTAACTCTACCTTGGTCCTAGCAGGGGGGTCTCCTTCTTGCCTGCAGAGACCCAACACCCAGGAGATGGATTACCAGCCTCTAAACCCTGAGGAAGGGCTTCTGTCATGAAGAACCACCGTGGACAGGCCTGGCCAGGCATTTTAGAGATAAACTCAGTGCACCTGTTTACTTTCCAGGCTGGAAGCCAGGGGGCAGGGGCTGGTCTCACCCCCAGTGTCCCCAGGGCCCAGCACAGTGGTTGTGTCTCCTCCATCAGACTGAGGGCTTACCTTTCTGTCACTCCCTACCCCATCTAGTCCTGCGAGGGACTCTGTCCTTTCACCCCACTCCAGCTGGAAACCCACAGCCTTCAGCCTGGAGCTAAGAGTGAGCACATGCTGAGGTCAGCCTGTGGCTGTTTTCTCGGGCTTCCTGGAAAGGCCCCAAGCCCTGGCCTACAGGACCCCAAGACAGGCTGGGTCCCCAGAGAAATAAGGAAGTACTGGAAGCTTCATCCAGGCTTGACCCCACCCAAGAGTGACTGGAAGGCAGCTTGATTTGCAGATGAAGAAACAGAGGATGAGGCTCCCCATTGCTCTTTAGCTAAAAAGACCAGATCTCAGCAGGAGGGCCTGAAGGACCTAGCTCCTGCCACAGTCTCCCTCACACCCTCTGCTCCAGTCACAGTGGCCCCCTCTTCCTCCTGGGAATTGGTCCCTTCCTCACATCTCCAGACCACTGCCCTTGTTGTTCTCTGCCAAGCCAAGCCCACTCACTCTTTGGCTGTGGACTCTGTCATTGTCCCTTCCCCTGGACGTTCCCTCTATGCCTGAGACTAGATCAAGTCCTTCTCTTCTACACTCTCGACAGCTCTTTCCCAGTGCTTCTCAGAGCTGTGATTCTCAATTTATCTGCGTCATTACTGGATGAATGCCTCCCTCCACCCCCACCCTCCAAAGGAGAACTCATCTGTCTCATTCATGCTGTAATCTCAGCACTACCCAGTGCCGGGCATACAGTAAGTGCTCAATAAATGCTTGCTGGATAAATGAAGGGTTGAATCCATCAGTCCTGGCTAGAACCACTTTCTAGATGTGTGACCTTGGACAAGTCTCACTTTCTTGCATTCAGTCAACAGACACTTATTGAGCATCTATTACGTATTGCTCTGGGCACAGGAGTCAAACCCAGATCTGTCTGGCTTCCAGTTCTGTTCTCTTTCTGCATACCAAGCTCTGCCTTTCCCGAGAAAGTCAGTACATTTCCTGAGGAGGTGTTTGAGGCCTGGAGGTGGGCAACCCCAGCCTGAAGTCTCCTCCTCTCCCACTGGTCCCCTGGTGCCCCCCACATTCCTGCCTCCATACCTTTGTGTACACAGAGCCCTCCACCATCTCTGCCTCCCAACCTCCCACTCAACCTTCAAAATGCTATTGCAGGGTCACCATTGCCTTGAAGCCACCCCCATGACCCTTGGCAGAAGCAGCTCTCCTCTTACTGCACTTGGCTGGCATTGGCTGGCATGGAGAAGCTCCACTGTCCAACCTGACCTGAGTTATTTATGGGCATGGCTCCCCAATGCAGAGCCATGCCCCTCTCCCAGGACTGCCTGGGCAGGCACTCGGTCTGATTCATCGTTGTAACGGTTCCCGTTGATTAGCCTTTCTCCGATCAAGCTGCAGCACCTGCTCTCTGCGCTCCAGTGCTCAGCTCGGGCTGGGCAGTCAGGGCCAGTGAATGTCCGTCATTGAGACGTGGGGACAGGCCACAGGACCGGGGGCTGTAGTCGGATCCCCTAAATCATGACAGGAGAATAGGATTCGGGTTGTGAAGGGCACGCACAGCCTGGGAACTGTCTCCCCTGGTCCCCTCACCCTCTCGCCTCTCCCCCATGAAGGGTGGGGCAAGGAGGATGCTGGGGGAGTGTAGTGGAAGGTCACAAGGCAGATGGGCTGTGGGCTGAGCTGAGAAAGGACAGCCTGCCCCGGGGAAGGACAACCACACATCTTGGAGCTGTCTGGGAATCTGGGAATCGTCTGCCTCAGCAGAATTCCAAGGACTGGGAAGGTGAATGTGGGGATCCAAGTGGGAGCTGCCCACCCCTGCATGACCCGGTCTCAGGCCAGTGCCAGGGCTGGGCTGACAGGCAGGAGACTTGGGTTCTAGTCCCCATGCTGCCATGAATTCGCTGTGTGACCTTGGGCAAGCCCTTGCCCCTCTCTGAGCACCAGTCTGTACAGGGACAGGATTGAGTCAGTGTGGAACTGACCAGCATGAATGCCAGCGGCTGGGATAGCCAGAACCCCTCCCCGGGGATATGTCTGGGTTGGAGAGCAAGTGACTCTGGGTGCGGCTACTGCCCAGCCTCACCCACCCGTCCCCATCTTAAACTGAAGGGGGCACATTAAGCTCTCCAGTGGCCTCTCCCCTGTGGTCTTCCCCATTCTCTTTGCAAGGGTCCCACTCCCTGTCCTCTCTGCCCCCAGAGATGCCAGACTGCCAGCTGGGAGCACTGGCAGCTGTGACTGAGTGTCCTGCGTCATGGTGAGTCAGAGCCCTCTGTCCAGGCCAGATCCAGTCACTCCGCAACAGGAAGAAGAGAAAGGACACCTCGGCCCCACCCCCCAATCCCGGGGTCACCCAGGACAGGAACCCAGAGTCTGGTCATAGGCAGACCCACCTTTCCTTCTCCACACAAGGGCAGGCACACGGCTGGCACTGCAAGTCCCCTCGCAGCTATCCTCCTCCAGGCCAGATTTGGGGGTCAGCTCTGGTCTGATGGGGCAGAACATTGGGGGTATCTGAGCACCCAACTGAATACAGCACTGACTCCAGGACTGGCATATGTCTTGTTCACAATGGCGCATAGTAGGTGTTTCAAACCCGCCCATCGAATGGCGGTTCTCCAGGCTTCCCATGGGTGTAGGGAAGCTTGGTGAAGTAGTAATGCATCATATCGGTGTTCACCGTCAATAGTATTTATTTTTAGCTCTAAATTAAGTGCCTAGTATGTGCCAGTCATTTGCATATATTATCTCATTCATCTTTACAGCAATCTCATGAGGTGAGATTTTCACCCCCAGTTAACAGATGAAAACACTGAGGTTCAGGGAGGGGAAGCAACTTGCCCAAGGTCACACAGCTTGAGCGAGCCGAGTCCACATTCAGTCCAGGTCTGCAGACACCAGTGACCGCTTTCCACCCGGACTTTACTCCAGAGAGGATACCAGGCTTGGGGGATGAGAAAAAGGTCAGTACCCATCCCGTGTCCCCCCCACCCCCGGCAGTCCTCTCCTGTAGAGGCCTTTAGCTCCAACCCATGCCCCTGCCTCAAACCTTATTCATGCTTCAAAACTCTGCCAAGCCACCATGAGGGACACAATGACACCTGCCCTACCTGGTGCACAGGTGGGTGTAAGGATGGAGTGAGGTGAAGTATATGAAAGAGAGAGCTTCCAAAACCGAAGAGCTGTGTGCGTGGGGAGGTTTGCTAGGAGCTGGGATATGTGTGTGAGTGTGACTGTGTAAATGTGTGTATCAACATGAGAATGTATGGCTGTTAGTGTGGGGGTGTGTGCGCGTGTGTATACTTGTGAAAGTGTGTCTGAGTGTAGGTATGTGAGTATGAGTGATTAGAGTGGGTCACTGTCTTTTGTTAGACAGGAGACTGGGGCTGAGATTATCCTTGTGTCTGGGTTCGGTGCTGCCCCCTTTCAGACACTGAGGGAGACCCAGTGGAGTGATGCTTGACTCTTGTGCGATAGTGACGCCACTAGGACACTCTCCCCACCCTCTGTACCTCCACCCTGGGCCAGCGTCCCTGAATAAGGAGCTGTCCCTCACAACTAAGGGACCTCAGGCAAGGCATCTGGCTTCTGTGAGCCTGTTTCTTCCCCTGCAAAATGAGCAGACAATGGAATTGTTATTGCGCTCAGCCAGGTGTCTGGTTGTGGTTGTTAAATTAACTAAATGAACATTCTACATTCTGTATTTTGTGTCCCAAATGCTGGAAATCCCCCCTCTCTCCTGTGTCCCCTTAACCCCCCACCCCAACTGCCCCCGCCCCTAGCCCGGGCTGCGGCAACAGGTGTTGAGGGGGGGCGGGGTTGGGAAGGGGCGGGCACCCTCGCGCGGCTCCGCGCCCTGGGCTTCGGGAGACAGGTCCCCGGGGGCCCTCCCCCGCCCGCGGTGCTGGCAGGAGCTGGCGACCGACCGAGGCGGCGGTGGCGGCTGGGACGACACGACGGAGTGGAGGCCGAGCTGAGCAGAGCAGAGCCCCAGCCCCGGCGCCTTCCGCGCCCGCCTGCCCGCGCGTCCGTCAGTCCTCCAGCTGCGCCCGCGCCGCGCGTGAGCCCCGAGCCTCGGAGACATGAATACCCGGCACCCCGACGCACCCAAGGCGCAGCGGCCCGGCCCCGCAGCCCCGTGATGGGCTCCTGCGTGTCGCGAGGTAAGGGGGCTGCGAGCCGGTGGGGTTCGGGGTCCGGTCCCCGCGCTGAGGACACGCGCACGTCCCCTCGGGCTGCTCCAAGGAAACTAGGGGATGAGGAGGGCGACCCCGCTGTTCCTGAGCAACCGCACCCCCACCCTCCCCTGCTGGGCCCTGGGGGACACGGTGCTGCCAGGGGACAGGGCGTGGGAGGATGGGGGACAATGTGGAGAAAGCATGGGGAGGTCACCGCAGCCCCAGTCTCGCTTGGAACCACACCCTGGCAGGTGGCCTGAAGCAGGGTCACTTCCTTCCCGGAAGCCACACCCCCCCTGCAGAGTGTCTTGGAGGAGCAGGACGCTTCTGGTTGCTCTTGGCTATTCTGGGGACAGGAGTGGGGATGGTCACCAGAACACTCACTGCCCCCCCCAAGACCCAGGCCTTCCAAGCTCAATGCCCCCCATTTCTGTCCCCTTATCCCATGTCCCTGTCTCAGAGTCCCTGAGCCCCATGGGCAGCAAGGGGTTAATGGGGTGAACAGGTGATAAAGAAGGTTCCCCATCTCCCATATTCACCCTAACTCCTCATCCTCACCCCAATGCTTGGTCAAGGGAAGAGGAGGGCCAGAGACAGCTGATGTTCCTAGTAACCCCGAGCCCTTCTCTGTCTCTGAGCTTTAAGAGCCAGCCTGGCCTGGCACCTTTCACTCCTCTGCTCTCCTCAAGGTGGTACTGGGAGCTGGAGTCAGCTTCCCTGGAGGGTGGCAGTTTGGTCCTTGGAACACTCCCCACCCACCTCCAGCTTTCTAACAGGCTGGGATCAACACTTCAGAAGAGGTTGGCTTAGCTGCTCCCCACCACTTGTCTTCTTCCCCCCCCACAGCTGGGGGAAGGGACTGGGGGTGGAGGTTACTGGCCAAATCCACTGACCCCAACCACAGGGCCTTAGGGGGCTGCTACCCCACCCATCCCCCCAATAGTTTCCTTAGGTATGGAGGAATGGGCCTTGGGGAGAGCTGGGCAGGCCCTGGATGGGTCCTGGACCTGGGAGATGTTAAGGAAGCGACATAACACTCCTCCCCCCCATCCTCTGGCCTCTAGGGGGCTCTGCTCACTGGTCCATGCAGGACATTCAGGTAAGTGGCTCAAGATGTCTCAGGAGGGTGTGTCACGACTGGGATCATGGGGGTGTGGGGAGGGGGAGTAGGTTGTGTGAGGTTTATTCACTTATTCAGTCATTAAGCTGCTATTAGCATGACACCTACTATGTGCCAGGCACCATGAACATGCTGGGCATCCAGCTTGCAGTGTCAATGAGCCCAGCACAGCGCCTGTTCTCGTGAGGCCTCTAGCCTGGCCAGAGTGGGAAGGTAGTTTGTTGTTGTTGTTGTTGTTTTTGTTTTTTTAGCTGAGCCATCCTGCCACCTGTTGGCAGCTCAGCAGCAGCTCAGCTCGGGCCCGGAATCAAACCGCTGTTGCTCAGAGCTCACACTCTTGAGCGAGCTCTTAACCAACTGAGCCACTCGGCTGGCCCGGGAAGGTAGTTTTAAGAGTGAAGAATGTTTAGAGTTCTTTAGGAGTGATGGGCTCTCAGTGTGTCTCCAGGAACCGGAAGGCTCTGGATAGTCTCTGAGTGTCGGAGTATCTGGACTCTGGTGTTTCCTTGGTAACTGTCCCTTCTCATCACCTGGCCATCCCATGCCAGGCACTGGGGGACTTGCTTGTGAGCTGCAGACCTGCTGAGCACAGTTCAGAGGCTGGAGAGGAAGGGACACCTGCCAAGGTCACTCAAGGCAGTTTTAGGACTGAGGACCAGGTCCTCCAACAAGGTGCGAGGACCATCAACCATTTTAGGGGTACGTACCATCACCATCCCCATTTTAGAGATGGGGAAACCGAGCAGAGGGAAGTTGAATGAATTGCCCAGGGACTGCATAGATGAAATAGCAGAGGTAGGATTTGAACCTAGTCAAGCCGACTTCATATCCTGGGCCCTTAGCCTCTGCACCACACTGCCAGCTCTCAGCCCTGTGCCCCTGTGCCAGCACTTGTCTCTCTCCAACTGCAGGCTTTCATGGGCCTCTGTGACCAGAGAGCCTGGTCTCCACACCTGTACCACTCACTGATAGCAGCCTCCTTATTCCCAAGTGCTCCCCTGTGCCAGGTACGCAGCCTGAAGCCAGGCCAGGGATTGGAGTGGGGGTGCCCCAGCCAAACCCCAAACCCCAGGTACAAGCCACACCTGGGAGAGCTGCCTTCACCCCCAGCATCCGGCAGCAGTGAGCTTCTCTGTGCCAGACCTGAGAGGTCAGGAGTGCAGACTTTGGAGCCAGCCAGCCTAGGTTCACAACCCTGCTCCACCATCACTAGCTCTATGCCCTCAGACAGTCACTCGACCTTGCACATGTATCTCAGTATTCTCATCTCTAAAATGGGAATAATTCCAGTATTGATGTCCTAGCTGGGAGGGAATTAAATGATTTAATTCATGTAAAGCACTTGGAACAGTACCTGGCACATAGTAAGCATGCCTACGTGTTAGCTATTACTTTCATTTTTATTATTACCCTTCTGTGCAGACAGCTAATCAAGGCCCTCTTGGCTGGGAAAGGGAAGGCTAGAGAGGCTCCAAGCCCCAACCTTTTCATGGGAAAAGCAGCGGGCGGTAGGCACTTGAGGCGCTGAGGACACGGGGAAAGTGACTGGGACCAGATTAAGGCACCACACGCTGTTTTCAGGAGCTATTTTGTTTGTTATCTATTTTGAAGGTGTTGTTTGTTGGGCGTTTATCCAGAACCAGGCTGAGCCTTCACCTTTCTGACCTAGTTAGTCCTCTTTCAACCTTGGGATGGGGGACGTGGGACTCAGAGATGGGAAGCGTCTTACTTGAGGTTACGTAGCCAGGACGTGGAGAGTCAGGATTTGACTCCGGGTCTGTGTGACCCCCAGAGCCTGAGGATGGAACCCTTGCCCTTCGCTTTCGTACGTCCCCTACGTGGAGAGAGGTACTAAGCGCATGGCCAGTGCTTAAAAAAAGCCATCCTCTGGAATAACTCAAGTGGTTAGTATTTGGTTTGGGCTTTGCTGCCGCTGCTGGTGACAATCCGTATGGCGCAGAGGAGAGTGAATATCTGCCCCCCTTCGCTACAGCCACAGGGTCTCTGAGTGCCCACCCAGGCCCCTGGCACTGGTACCTCTCTGCCTGTCCCCTCCCACCCCAGGCTTTTCCTCCACGCCAGCTGGCCCCACTCTGGGGATCTCAGTGCACTGGGCACTGGTATGGGGGTGGGTTGGCGGCGGGAGCAGAAGTTGAAGACTGAGGACTTTCTTTTGGAAGGTCAGATCTGATTATGTCTGGGAGAAGGCACAAGCCCTATGGGGGCTGACCACAGCCAC